CAATTTCCAAAACGAAAAACTTTCCAATAATTTGAATATACGAGACACTGGATTTTCAAAAGCGACCAATGCGTCCAACGAAAACTTTTCATCTACAAATACTGGAAAACAATCTTATTATTTACCTAAACCAAATTATTGCTGATGTTGTTTGTATATTAAAATGTAATGTGATTATATTTATTAACTATGGAAGCTTCAATAAATAAAAGTCTCTGAAGAACATTTTCTATCACATATCATTACACTTGTAGCACCACGCAGTTAATAGACCCATCTACGATATTCTACACTTACCGCTATTCATCGTTTGTATATGGACATGTATAAAAATCAATATATCTGAAAAATAATTTAAGGTCCGTATATAAAACATTCTGTATAAGTTATGTTTAAAAATTAAATAAATTCTCTTATTGTTTCATATAGACTATTGAGACTGGGATTTGGCTTTTAAAAAGTTTTTAAAATCAATACCTATTTATTAAATATAATATTACTTATTGACTGCGAAAGTTCTGGCCTACTTTACTTCTACCCGAAAATCAGTCTACATTCGATGGTTGGCTAGGCTGTGGAGAGACTGTAGCTGTCAGACGTTACGCGGTACCAGTAACTAATAGTAATATCACATTGTTAGCAATCACCACGGATGCTTTACACGGCCATTTTCGTATCCAAAAAACGGAAAAATATGGTTGCATCTGGAAAATCACTTTCGGCATTAACTATGCAAAGACACATTCGATTGATATATTATCAGAATAGAGATCTGTCGAGAAAGTCTTCTAGAATTACTAAAATGGTCATGTGAATCTTCAACATAATAGCTTTGGTCGTATTTCAGATACACCATTATCGCGCAATGAATACGATTGCCTTCCTTTAAAAATAGCTTAACACATGAACTATAATAAAAGTACTAACACTTAGTTCTCTCCGTTAGTAACCGGTGATTGCTTTTTGGAAACCTTACGAAACATTCAAAAGACTTATTTGAAATATAATATTTAAGAAGTCTTCGTCTATCGTTGTCATTCGATGTAAATTGGATTTGAGAAGACACTTCTTTATACATAAACCAATTAATATTTATATAAATATTGACGCATTTCATCGCCGATTAACAAGTTATATTGCAGTGAAAAATAATCGTATGAACCGTGGCTGTACGATGTAACCAAACACTCTGAGTTGACAATAGTCGGACGGAGATAATTATATTATGAAAACTATCAAATTGTGCGCAGTTAAAAATAAACAGACACGTGTCTCTTACGGCTTACGACGACTTTATATCTGACCAGATGCTTTAAAAAGCTCTCTCACACCTCAAGTGCTGATTAAAATAAAATAAAAACTGACAATGTAAATAATGCCCACCGGCTCACAGTTCGCGGTTAAATTATGACATATTTGCTTATATATACTGTGGCTTTAAAATACAGATAAAATAAATTCTAGCTTCGAACAATCAAAATGTCTTTAGTGGTATTTTAAATTTGAACAGAAGATTCACTTAAAATCTAATTTATCACAATCGTCCTGGTTTAGCACATATTTACAAAACATTTGCTGTGCTCGATATATCTTTAGAATCTGATTTTAAATTATACATTATAAATTACAGTAATAAGTTATGTGAACATGTTATTATAAAGAAGACCACACCAATATTAAATACTACTAGAATTTAAACAATCACTCAAAGGTACCGCTCTGTCATTGTTAGTGTTTTATTTATTATTTCTTTTTTATTTAGTTGCTATTCATAAAAATGGTATTATCCAAAACTATAGAAGTAAATCTGCGTAAGAAACGTAACTTTGTAAGAAGGTTACTTTGAGTGATTTTTCCTTATATAATAAGACACTAATTTACACCACAACATCAAGTATCTACGGCAGATATAATTATAAAAAACAGTCAACATCAATTTCGAATGATTAATTTTAATATATAAATTTGACATAATGGCGAATATCTTACAAATTTGAATGCACACAATTTCGCTGGTACGTTGCATACCTATAATTGTACAATGTAAAATCCCGAAGTAATTACACGTGAAGGCTATTTTTCTAATTTAGCACGTACCTAATGCCAAATTTGAATATATATTGCATTTAGAGTATTTTGGTAGTAAAAAATAAAAAAATTCAGAGTATTGCTTCTCGTTTTATACTAGAACTTTCTACTACCTAAATATTACTTATAATAATATCCCTCTGCCAAATTCAATAATATTTTATAATAAATACGTTTTTCAATTAACTGTATGTATAACAATAAAAAAACAAAATACAAAAAAAAACATTTAAAATTCCACTGCACTATATGCGATTAAGGACGAACGCGCACATTATTGGGTATTAAAAAAAACTAAATGTGTAATAACATCAAATATTTCTATGCATTCACCTATAACTCCTCCACCTCATTCTTCTTCTGAAAGGACAGCAAACGCAAAACTAGAGATATCTATCTCACTTCGTAAGAAGTTCGAAGAAGAAGTTCATTGCGCTAAACCATCAGTTATGATAAAAATAAACTATAATGCACGAATTAAATTCGCAAATTCTGGCATAGGCAGCACAATTCAGACCTTTGCCAAAATCCGCTACAACGATTGACAGCTGCCGGTCATAGATATTTCTACCGAACTCGACTTCTAATGGCTAGCCACGTCATGACTGCCTGACATTAAATGCTTAAAAAATAAAAGCTACCGTTACTTATTAAACGTTATAACAAAAACTTCAAGGTGTGCGATATGTTAAAAGAAATCTATCTTCCATCGACAAATTTAAAGAATCATTAAATATGAATAAATATGTTGGGATATTAACACACAGCACTATCCAGATCCATGGTAAGCTACGAGACCTGTGTTATGGATATCAGATAGTTGATACACTACACATATATAACTTTAAATACATATTATAAATATAAACACCCATGACTGGAGTACAAACATTTGTGCTCATCACTCAAATAATGAACGCGGGACTCGAGCCGCGACCGCTGGCACAGCAAGTAACTAAGTAACACTACAAACTGAGCCAAACGTGTCGTCAAATAGTCATTGTTAAAACAAACAAGCTATGACAATAATTTAATCCCAATTCTACTTCATAATGTGTTCGTTCGCACTTAAATCCATCTATCTTTGTCCCTCAATACAAGAATAGGTATTGAATCTCCCTCGCACACTACTTAACATCAGCGCCGTTTAAGAACTCTTTTTATAATGACAACAGTACTAACTAAATAAATTATACTATTATTTACCCTAACTTCATAATAACGGGTACCAAACAGTTTTTCGTTGCATTGACTATTATCTTAAGAGAAATATGAACAAATATTTTTTTTATTCTATGTATATATAATGAGAGTTTATTACGTTACATAACTAATGCCCGACGGATTTTTGTTGTTAAAAAATACTGGCCCGCTTACTGGAATCGTGACTTTACAATGTCACTCAATACATAACCCTTAATTATAATAATTTAATTGACAAGTTGCACTCAGACGTGACACTTAGAAAAGGAAATGTTTTAAATATTATTTAAAATAAATTAATTGTTCTATATGTATAAGATGGTCTGTTCTCTGTTGATTAAAAATAAATTTATATATATTTTTATTACTTCTATTACGGCTATTTTATCATAAAACTTACAATACTCGGTATTTACTTTATGAATTAAAATGTTAAAACAATCACGGAAAATAAAAAAAAACTGTCTAAAACGTTGCCGTTTACGTTTTTTTTAATGAAATTAAAAATATTTCGGTATAGTTAATTCGAAAATATCTGCTCTATTTTTAGGCTATATTTTATTGCTGTTGTAAATTTTAATATCAAATAATATTCCCGCCGTCACTATTGACATTGACATTTCATGTATAATTTTTAGGCGTCCAACAAACACTTTTACGCAAAAAAAGTAAAGTAACATGAAGTTGGAAAAGACTAAAAGTTTGCTATCCGAAGTATGAAGTTAATTATTTCGTAAAATAAATTTATTGCCTTAGAACAACTACTCAATTCTACTTGTGCAGTTTATATCTATAAAGAAATATCACAATATCGGCAGTTTGATTTGTCTTGGTAGGCGAAACTAACGACCTATTGGTTATAGGTATCCAGAGTAGCGAGAGAACGCGGGCAAGTATTTTTTTTCTATTTGATCGTAAACGAAACTGTATTTTATGTCAAGAAATGTGTACATTTTGACAATTAGTTTAACTACTTCAAGTTTTTACTTTTATGAGGTACATATTTTGGCACAGAGAGACTTCTTAAATCTATTATGAATTTATATCTAGACATTTAAAATTACTTTAAATTACATAAAACATTTCGATGTTTTAAAACTTGTTGACTGGTCTTAATCATATTAATCACAGCTTTTTGCATTCTCTTACCTACCTACCGTCAACACTACAATTTTCTAATTTTCCCTTCAATGGAATGAATTTTCAATCTTATCAAATGTGCTTGTAAGTTTCAAGGCAACAAAATTCAGCTAAATTAAATTAAAGTTTCACCTAATCGCACTTTTCTTCTTCACTATTAAATACACATGACGCAATAACCAAATTGTATCCTACTCAGACTCATTTTCAGTTCAATAAATCGTTAAAACAATTTAACAACAAAAAAATAAATAATTTAGCCATACCTATTTAAGCAGAATGTAGTGTGACGTATGATAAAGTTATCCTTTTAATCCTTAGCAGCAATCACTTAGTTCGTTCCTTTTATATGTAATAGAATAAATATAGAAAATCATTTATTAAACTATAGATACCACTCCGAAAAAAGCAATATGGTAAAATTCTATAGACCTGCTTAAATATATCCACAATAAAGTTGTAAAGATTCAAAACATTTTAAAAAATATTCCGATTTGCTGTTATAAAATGACTCGGTCATTAACTATAGAGGTATGCGAAGATTGAAAACAGGACGGCGCATTCGATCAGCGTGCGTTATGTACGTGAGTTGTGAGGTGTTTCGACAGATAGTCGGCCCTCGCGAAGCACTTACCGCATGCCTCGCAATGGTAGGGCCTTTCCCCGGTATGGATACGTAAGTGACGAGTCAAATCACTCTTCCCACCAAACGCTCGACCGCAGAACAGACACACGAACGGACGCTCCCCAGTGTGCTTCCTTACATGCAGCTTCAAATTCTCTTTCGACCGTACACATTTGCCGCAAAACGGGCATGCAAATCTCCTTTCCCTGTCACGCTGTCGGTCGTCATTTTGCAGGAATCCCAATATCCCGGAATGTGAGCTGGGGCTTTCCAATTTACTGTTGTCTCCGCGGGATTCGCTTTCAGAGCTGTCTGCCATAGAGCTAACGCTGGCGAATGATACGGGAACGCGTCTTCTCTCATTTGTGACGGAATCATCCTTTTTAGTTTCGCTTTCAGCGCTAGAATTTTTACAATCATTTGAATCGTCGACAGTAACAATAGAGTCAGTGGCTCCATTCGAATCTACTGTGCTATCTTGCTCGCCATCTATTATTTCTATAGGTGGGGTCCTAACGTCACTTTTGTTCTTTTTCTTCATTGACAAATCCATTTCCCCACACTGTCCAATTAACACTTCGTTAGTGCTCGACACTTGCTCTATTCCTTCCGGTGGGTCGGTATTCTTAGTGTGAAGTCGCTCAAGAGTATGATTGAGACGATGTTTCTTGAAAGACTTCAGGTATCGGAATTGCATGCCGCATACATCACAAGTGAAAAGTTTGTCAGCCGGTAGTCTCGCTCTATGATTTTGTTCTCTATGCTTTACGTAGGCAGATCTGTATCTATAACTTTGCCCGCATTGTTCACAAACGAATGGTTTATCATCAGTAGACGCTTGAGATGCGTGTTGTAGAGCGGCATGACGTTCTAATAGCCAGGTAGAGGGGAATGAAGCAAGGCAAACGCCGCACCGTCGCCTTTCAGAGTGAAGTAAATGGCGGCTTTGATAGGCCATGCAATCATCACTAAGATACCTGCGTAAACGACATGCTTGCAAAGCTAGTAACGGCGACCATAGAGGCAGCGCCGTTGGGCTGCTTGGTGCAATTGGGCTTGAAATACTCGGGGATCCACATGTCATGTCCAAACACATCTGAAAAAAAAGACAACACTTATTATTAACTATATGTATAACAAGTATAACTAGTTAAATCAATTGCTCTTACGTACCTGTAAATCTGGTAATTGGTAAAGTTATAAATAAAAGATTACTTCTGTAATGATTGTAGAGCTTTTATTTGTCAAAATTGTATTTTTACAGCTATGATATGCTTATATTTGTTTCAAAAGTTACAATGATCAACAGCGATGGATTTGTGTACTGTTGCATTTTCAATTGACGAAACACCGATTCGATCCTCGACCGTTCTGATATACTGTAACTATATTTCAACAAAACCGTACTGCTCTCTGTTACAACATTATGACCTATTATTAATGTTAAGGCAAAACAGATTTCACTAATCTAAAATGTCAACAATGAAAGTTAAATAAAACAGCTTAAGGAAAAAATAATCATTGATGACTCTATGAAGTAACAACGATTTAAGCTATATAATAATATAAATAAAGTGGACCTACGTTATTTGAACTTGTGCTGATTACAATTAATTTACAGCAAAATATACAGAACCGCCACGAATGTTTGCCGAGTGCTGACTTAAAAGACAGGTAGAAACGTTGATTAATCAATGACAGGTCAAACGGACGTGGCGTAAATAATTTGTATGTGTATATGATGCTCCTAAATACGAAACTTAGTCTAAATAAATTATAATAAAAATCATAATCATTAAAACAAATTGTACCAATATATAATAATCAATATACCTACAGGAACTTAGAAAAATTGCAATATAAGTTATATATTTATGTATGCCACTTAAAATAGTAACATAATCACATGTAACCAGTGAATGCTTGCCGCGGCCCAAGCTGGTCGATGAAACTTAACAGTATTATCTAAAACTATACAAATAAAACTATTGTCCTAAGTATTGGTCATTAAAATAATTTTGCACTGGTTAAACTTTAACTGTGTAAACATCACAAGATTGGAATGCGCTAACTACGGAGATGTTTTCACGCGTCGTGACCGACCCACGGTTAGATGACCACCCAACGAACTATACGCCACGAAAATATACAAAGTGACGAAAGCTGCAGATTCATAATGCTGACTATATATTTAAACTTAACAAGATACAAAGGAACAAAAATTATGGCAATTTGAAGCATATTCATAATAAAACAGAAACAGAGCAAAGAAATGATGACTATGAATATGTTCAAAAACAAACATTTTTATTTTGTTTGTAACAGATTCAAATAACAAAGAAGCATTGCTTCAACAAACCAACATTACGAATCTGGCAATATCGAATACAACAAATTGACATTGACGGCTTATTAACATAGATTATAAAACGACACTGTCAAAATGACATAGAACGTTAGTACAGTTCGATTGGACGTTCATTCTTAACCGCTTAACGCGACCGAGCTAACATTCTGGCTCTCATCGTAGCAATTGTTATGTGTCCTGTCGTGTACCTGTCGTTGCAAGTCACATATCATAACGCAACTTACAATTTTCACCATAAAATTACACATATTTGTCTATAATTCATTCCCTACATAAACTATGTATATTCCGTGATTTGCAGCCTTTATATAAGTCTTATATAGGCAAGAGGCACTCTAAATATAAAACTGTGGTCACAATTTATAAAAATGAATCTAAGTTGTATCTATTCAAACGTTTTAAATAACTCGTGCTAATCTCGACTTATATGCTCGATAGGTACTCAGAGAAAATATATCTACATAAATTTTACATAAATATCATAATATTATATATATAACTATTTATTTTATTTGTGCTAACGGCGTGTGCACTTCGCAGGGACGTGGCAACAACTGGCGAATGTTAAAATTTGAATAACTGCACTTAGGGGCCATATAATAAACACTATTGTACGTAACAACAATCACTCGCCTATATATGTACATGTCAATACATAGAAATATGTATAATTATAATAATAATAATATTATTTCATTAATAAATAGTACCTCTGAAAGTTAGGAAACAAAAATAGCATTTAAACTGCATTCAGTTCTATTATAAAAACTATTTCGATAAAAAATCTTACTTTGTTCACTCGCATCTTTACTAACCATTTAATTATTGCTATTAATTTATAATGTAAATTGTAAATATTCAATCTTTCTTAAAACAAGAAGAGGAACATTAATCAAAGTTACAATATTGCTATGTTTGGTAACGTTCGACTCCGAAAAATAAATTGAGTGCAGCTTTTCAAATAGCAACATTAGTGTTTCTAATTTTTTTTTTATCATTTTACTCCTTTTCAACCATTCTAGCTCCGGAAAGTAGCGCATCTACCAATCTATATCCTAAATATGCATTTACATGTGCCTTTTTAAGAGCAGACCAAAATAAATGTTCACAGCAAACAAATTCATGTTACGTTATAGAAATGATAATACAAAAACTTTCAGCTATACAAATAATACATACCGATATGAATGGGTGTTCAATTTTACTAAGCAACTGTTTTTTTAATGAAATACGTTCGATCTACATGTTATCTAGCCGATTGTAAATTTCAACATCCATTCGTGTATATGGAATGTTTCTTCTGTTAGTATTTTAAATGACCAGTTAAACTAAAACAAATGGTTCTCATGGTATAAATTTCACAAACACGCATAGTTCATCATGCTTAATATAATTTTTTGGCCTTAAAGATGCCTCCTACACACACTATTATGACAATTTTCTCCAGTACGCCACAATACAAAGAAAGTAACATTTTTCTTGAAATGCTACGGTACTCATGGTCTATATACTTTATTCTAATTTTAATTTGCCCAAACTTTAAAATATATATGTATTAAGATTTTTTTACTACGTATTAAAAGAAACCCTAATTATTTTCTAATCAGCCAAAAACAGCCTAAAATAAGGTCTGGTCTAAAAAGATGAGTAATAATATATTGAAAAAAAAAATCTACCATTTTTTGATTATCTCATCTAAATAAACATCTAAACTTGAATAATTTTAACAATACACTACCAAAAGTTATATAATTTTAACCAAAATGTCAGCCTTAATGTCTACGTTAAAACGCTAAATCTAAAAGCAATGAGATCTATAAGAGCCATTTTCGAAAAACTATAATTTCTTGCATATACCACAATTTCGATATGATCAATTTGACAAAATTACACCAGGTACAGGTAATGGTAGTGACGATACTATTACATATATTGTTATAATAATAAAAAGTTATACGGATTTTAATGAGATTTTTAAAATAATAAGATTAAAAATCAACAAACATATTCCATTGATAATACTGAATCCGTTTAATAGCTTTAAATTTTGAAATAGCAACACTTTTACTTTATACAGCATTTAAACAAAAAGTTTTTTATGAATGTTATTTTTTTTTAATTTCAATTAATTAGTAGGTACATTGTAAATTTAAACAATCGTCACTATAGTCTATATTCTGAGATCGAATTGTTACTCCCAGATGTAATACCTTACTTGTATATCACAGACCTTTTCCTTAATTACCATAATACTTTGAATGATTAGTCCAATATTAATTATGAAATAATATTTCTCTACAATATCTCGTTAAAACGTCTTATAATTGAAATCAGTGTATATTATTCTAATATATATTTTTTTTAAACAATTGTTGTAATTTCGTCCCGGTTCCAAAAAATGATATGCACGATCCTTTTTATACGCAACGATAAAAACACGGCCTACACTATGATATAATGAAATTTTTCATATCATCAAACCAGAGTACCGTCAGCATATAAAGAAAACTTAACATAAATAAGAAATTAATCAGTCGTCCAAACGTATTCTATGATTTTAGCGCGGCATAACGTAAAAAAACTGTAGTTAGTTATAGGCAAAAATAAACTCTATTTCTTCACTATAAAGCACATTATCGTTTCGAAGCCGTTACGATGTGCCGCGCCCAAGCCACCATTGAATCAAGAACAAATCAAAGCTTTAGTTAACATTTTTTCGGGTGTGACGTCATGACAGTTCGTTAATATACATGTTAAGGACAAAAAATTTCATTTATAATAAAACATGTCATCCCAAACATGTACGTAATAAAAATAAAAACATCTATCTGTGAAATGAAATTTTATAATTCATAAAATATCCCTGTATTTGACTCTGTTTAATTTCTTGAACACAGCAATTGTGAGATGAGTTTCAAATGCCTTTCTTTATAAAATGTTGTATATGTATAGTATAAGTTCATAATGCATTTGAAACTACGTATAAAAATAAGAATGAGACAGTTATTCTGTATGAAAATAGATAAAAATTTTCTACGTGCGGTCGCTATGCCTCTTATATCCAAACTTTAAGTAAAGTTATTTGAAAAAAAAATTGTTACATTTAAGAAATCTACAATATTGTACCCATATTTTGTTCTTTAATTAAAAAAAATATAAAAATTAAATATGATGGCTTAAACTCAGTATACGAATTAGTATGTCGGTACGTTTGTTCATGTTTAATTGACGTTAACATATTATAACATAATTTAACAAGCACTAAAAGAAAATTACTGAGGAGCAAATTTGTCGAGATTTATATATGGAGAGTGATATAGGCTACTTCAACGTAGTAGACGGTATGACTATGACCTAAATAAATACGAGTACGGCTTAGTCTATATTAATATTATAAAGAGGTAAGTTTGTGAGTTTGTGAAGTTGTAGGGAGTAATCTCTGGATCTACTGAACCGATTTAGATAAAATTTAGTAAGAAGATAGTGTGAGACCCTGGGATGGACATAGGATACTTTTTATCCCGGAAATCATCCCATAAGGTGGCGAAAATAGGGATGAAAGTTTGTATGGGGAATCAACTTAGTATAGACAAAGAGGCATAGCATTCTGGTCGAACTGAAACGGATCTTAAAGCTTTGATTCCTATGATCACATATCCCCATTTTAATCCAGCTACTGAAGCATTACTCTAATAAATTTCCTAAAAATCCGATATTAGGTATCAAACTATATGTATTTACATTTATATGTCGTAATATTGCTTTTGAATTACCTCGGGGAGCGTGCGTCGTTTACTTCGAAATTTTAAATTACTAAAAAATTCTAATGTATACATACAAACTATGAGTGCGTTCGGTACTCTAATAACTTTGAAGCACTCTTAATTTATCGATTTGGTTAATAAAATCAATTCTGACAAAATCACTATAATATATAAGCAAATCTCCAAACGTCACATCTAACTTAACATAGAACTTAGTGTTCCAAATTCAAATATTCAAAATTAAAACGATTAGTAACGGTCTCCTAAAAGAAGCAAAGCAAACGAGATCTAGATCTTAATTATAATTTTGAAAAAAGTTTTACTTTCTATTATCTTTGGCTATGCCAATCGCGGGTTGCTAATGAAATCACTAATTAGTATACCTAAAGCACCTAAATATTAAGAAAAAAAAAACTAAGCGAATCAAAAGATAACGCGTACGCGGAAAAGAAAATTTGTGAGTCAATTATCTAAGTGAAATATCAAATATTTATATCATTCAGATCACAGTTGCGGCGTTTAAATCACATTCTTAACTAATAACATATTGTCCCATTTGTTCATTCAATTCGCACCATTGACTATCTCCAACAAAAACATCGGGTTTACATTACAAAATTTGTTGCAATATATTGGTCTCATAAATTTCATTCAACGAGTTTCATTAAAAGAACTGTGCCATAAAGTGTGTAGAAAAAAAGAATGAAAAAATTAAAATAACATGATTGGTAAAAAAATGATATTTTTAAAATTATTGAATATTTATTAATGTGAATAACAGTAATTTAAAAAAAAAAACAAAGAAAATAAAGCGTTAAAATAATTAGTATCTAACTACTTTAGGTGAAAAAAAACCACACTAACATATCTACGATATGCCACTAGAGAAAAAAAACAACAAAAAAAAACATTTAAAATCCAATTAAAATATGAAACCAATTCATCACATCGAATAAATTCCACAATGTAAATCCAATTCATTTGTATTGGCTAATAATATTTTTTTATTACAACACTATAGCCATTCCATACTCATTGATGGGGACTCTCCTCCTCAGTGTCAACAGGACTCGGCGATAAAAACTTTCTCGCGTACTTCGGATAGTGTGTTTTCTCGTGGGCCTTCAATATTGTTGAACGTGAAAACGTTTTGCCGCACAAAACACACCGAAACGGTCTCTCACCTAGAAATAAAAATGTATATTTACTAAATCTATTCATATTCGAAGAATAAAAAGACGTTTAGTTTATCAGCCTTGTAAATTTAAAGTAAAAAATTTAGAACAAAAAATCCAAAATTATGCAATTTTTTCTAAGTCTGCAGATTTGATTCTGGTACAAAAACATTAAAACGCTTATTCAAATCTGATTAGAATTAAAACCGAATCATAAAAAAACTATTACCTACCATTTTTATACAAGAATTATAAATTATTGTAAAGGTCAAAAGGATATTATATACATAAAAAAAATCGATATCTTACTTACCTGTATGAACTCTACAATGATCCTTCATATGATGTCTTAACTTAAACGCCTTCCCACAAAATTCACACTTAAACGGTCGGTCCCCTGTATGCACCGGCAGATGGGCTATCAACGACGACACATCAGGGAAACTTTTACCACAAAACTTGCAAAGAACAACATTCCCAGGCTCCACTGGACCAATATCTAGGTCTAGAGGGGTTTCTTCGGCTGGCATCATGTATGTTGGTTCACTAAACTGCCCGATCATTGGCAACCCCATAGGTCTAGCCATTAGAGCGTCCCGATACTTTAAAGTATCAAGAGTGTGTGTCGTTAGTATGTGCCTGGTCAATTTACTCTGGTGAGGGAACGTCGCTCCGCAATGTATGCAAGGGTATACCCCTTCCTCAATTCGCCCCCTACCGGACCCTTCGTACTCCTGCAACCACAAAAAGAACATCAACTTCTTTTTTCTCTTCTTTTTCTAGCAAAGACCAAAATGTGTGCAGAATGTCTAATACTACTTTCTAAATTGGAATGCAGTTTCTTTATCTATCTAAATAAGAAGTTGACGCTCATTTTTGCCCAAAAAATGTGCAGGAGTGAACCCGGGAGCCGGCTACGCGTAATGCCTTGTTGTATAGCAACGCGCGCGCGCACTGAATCGTGTATATATCGTAAACAAGAATATGGCCAAAATTTAAATAAAAAACTGCCCATAAATATGAAACAAAATGAATGTATGTAAAAAAATGATGGCCAACAAAATGAAGGTCAACTTCTTGACAGCAAGGCATAGTACTCGTCGTAAAATTAGCGCAGCACATCAATAAGCATGCAATTTAATACAAATCAACTTCCACACCAACAAAAAGATGATGCTAAGATTCTTGCGAATTCGCACCTGAAGGTTGTTTCATTCATAAATCACCCATCAATACGACATTAAGTGCAATAGAATAGAATTGCAGTAAAATAATATACAAAAGCATTATATATAATAACGTGCGGAATAAATAAATCAATTACAACTAAGTGGTTGTTTATGACGTCAAATCTTCTAATATTTATGACTTTATAAGCAAAGGATTATAATTTAAAAAAGCAATTTACGATATTTGTTTTTCTTGATTCTTTTTTTTTACTAAGAAAGAAAAATAAAAGCTGTTAGTTAATGTAAATGAAATCTAATAAATAAATCTTTAAAACGATTTAAAAAATAAATTTTTGAATTATGAGTTTTTGAATTATAACATATTTTTAGTATGAGCATTAGGCAAATTTTAAATAAAATAAAAATATATTAGCTATAGGCAAATATAACAAATTACAACGTCTTTATTTAGTAATTATAAATGTAAATAAGCATGTCACCACTCAGTCATAATTCATTTGAAACATATTGATAATGTAATAAGCAAAATAAAAAAATAGCAATGAACATGCAATTTGTGCAAAACATATAAAAACATGCAGCTATCATGCAGTTTAGATTCAATTAATAACAACTATATGGTTGACAAAATAATTGTTGGGCAAAAATAAAGCAAAATAAAATTTTCTTATTTTTCATATACAAAAAAACTTCTTACTTTGATATTTTTCATACAGTATATATTAATAAATTATATTGAATTAAATAAATAACTTTGTATTTAATAATTATTATTATTACTTGAGCCAATACTTTATAAGCAAGTACATGACATAATGAATTTTAAATAAATTAATTTTTATGTCTACCACAACCACGATATAGAATATAAAACATAAAGATACATACTGTTTCATGTTGTAGTCGATATTCTGAAGAAGATTCTCCAATTTTCTCTTCGTTACTTCTATCCCAATCTGCTTCTTTCTTTAAAGACTGAAATTGTATAAATAAACATCTAAACGCTAGAAATAACATTGTATGCTAAGTATCTTATCAATTTTGGTATTTTAAAAGATTGATATATAAAATACAAACATGAATAAAATGTCATAAACAGAATATAAGAAATATAGTTGATTTTATTAATAGCTATGAACTTAGGCTTTATTCATGACAAGTTTATCTATCAAGTTTAACTTTTAAGGGTTTCCATTTGAATACTAGCAACTCACCCTCGCTTCGGGTTCATCTCTATTTACTAGGTAAAAACAAATCTATCCCACAGGAACTGTACATTTTCCAGGAAAAAAGGAAACATATGTGCTATTCCAGACTATAGCTCCTCACAAACATTAACATTTATAATATTAGTAGGATAATATTAAATATAAATAAAAATTAAAAGGAAAATATTCTTTAGTACAAAATATAATTACCAAAGGTACTTGCTGAACCGGAGGCAGCCCTGAGGGTCCTGCAATAGGTTCATTCCTTGGACTTGATAGGGAGAGTGGATGAGGCAATCCAGGGTGCGTAAGTGAATTTAAAACACTTAGCCTTTGTTCTACGGGCGAGTAGCGTGGTCCCAAGCCATGGCTGTTTATGGTCATGTTTATGCCTGAAATTAGAAACATAAACATCACATTTAAAACTTTATAAAATTCCGATTAATGTTGTCCTTAAGTAATAAAACGTAAAAGATCTAAAATTACACTGTTGTAAAAATAATAAATATTCGATTTTCAATCTTTTAATGAGACGGCATATCACATTGTAAAATTAATAAATGCATACATTTTTAAGATGGGAATATAATTTATTTGATTCCATAAATAGGCCTTCCTCATTGTAAGATCCATTTTGGTAAAAAAATGTTTATTTTTGAAACAAAGTCCCAGCAAATTCTTGCTATTTGTAATCAAAACTTTTATGACATTTATAATTGTCAATTGACCGTTGACGTAAGAGGTATTCCCACAGACTAAATAAATATATTATTTTTATTTAACACTTGAAACATACAGCTGATTCTGTAGGTCTATTTGATTACACTAGGACCTATTAAACCGCGGCAAAGTAAAATACTTAAAATAATTTTTAAAATTTTGTTTTTAACTTCAAACACTTTAAAATCATGTAATACTTTCTTAGTTTTACGCGAATATTTAACACTTTAAATTAAACTATGTTTTCGGATTTTATCGCGGATTTATTTTGGTAACTTTATAAATTATATTTTCAAAATTATGTTATTAATAACCCATTTCAAAATGTAATTGTCTTTATTATATGAAATTAAGTAGTTTTTATTTAGATGAACAATGATCCTTTGTTATATTAATGAAATAACAAAATTATTCACATACCCACGTTCTCATTTGCACCATTAGACCTAATTGAAACGGAATCATCTTCAGGTGATGATGGTCGCATAGGTTCGTCAGGTGGTTCATCTTTAGGTATAGGTGGATGCGTTAACGTCGGTGTTTCAATTGACGTTTCAGGCCTAAACCGTCGAACAGATAGCAAAGGTGATATTCTTGGTGGTGATGCTTCTGGTACCTCTCTTGGATCCCGAGTATCACGCAGATCTCTTGGATCTCTTATTTCGCGTAAGTCACGAGGTTCTCTATTATCTTTTATGTCACGTAATTCTCTATGGTCTCTAGGTTCTCGATGTTCTCGTAGTTCACGAGAATCTCTGTCTCGTATCAAATCTCGTTCTCTTTCTCTGTCACGATCCCTATCTCGTTCTCTATGTTCTCGCAAATCTCTTGCTTCGCGAGAATCCTTAAGGATTTCTCTTACATGATCTTTGCAGTCTCTTTCGCGATGTTCGCGGCCTTCTTTTACTTCTCTTCGTTCTTCTTTATCGCGAATATCTCGCTCATCTAATCTTTCGTGTGGATCTGCCGACTCTCTAATGTCTTGGTGTTGGCACTCCTCCATCGGTTCCGGAACGTTTCTGGTGTCAATGCCGGCTGCACTGAGCGTAGTCATTTCAGCTAATCCTTTTACCTTAAAAATTGTATTGTAAGTTTTTATCAAACAATTTCAATTTTTTAATAATTTAATTATATATGTAGTGTGAATAAATGCAGTGGAATAATGATTTTGATTATAAGAACACAAATAAAAGTAAACGGGTAAATAAACAAGTACGTTCGACGTGAAGATCATCCTTTAAACTATCTATAACATAATCTATAACAAAAAATAACGAATAATAATTATAATGTGGTACAATATAACAAATTACAGAAACATTAAAAACAAAACATTCATCACCTGAAGGCTCTCAGCCGTTTTAAGGAGAGCAGGCAGTTGGCAATACTGGACGTTAACCTCGCCCTTGTACATGAAGTCGACGAGCGTTCGGAGCTCCTCCAAGCCTACGTCCTTTAGGATTACAATTGGATGGCGTGAAGGGTGGTCCACAAAAAGCGAACGGAAGTAAGATGAGCACGCAGATAGTACTACCTGTAAATTAAAAAAAATAACAATGAGATATCATACATAAAGCACGGTATAAGTTACCAAAGGATTTTAGCAAAGTTTTTAATTATCAATTTAAATGTCAACAATATAATTTTAATGAACACTGCCATTAACAGAAATTGAGTATAAAATGTAAATTTTTATTATAAAACATAGATAAAATACAATCGCTTATTAAAAACTGAAATGAATACATAAGACGCTACATAAAATATTATAAAACATTACAAGTTGCTAAATAGGATATGGGTTTTCCCATGTTGCACACTTGTTATGAGTCATTGCAAAATGAAACCTTTAATTTTTTGAATAACTTTTTTATCTGATAATTTGCCTACTTATGTCAGAACTTGGCAGTGTATTGTCAGGTATAAATATATTCTGCGTACGCAACTATTTCATGGAAAATGTATGATGCAGGAAATATTCAAGTCTATTTTGGAGGCTGTAAACAAAAATAGCTTCTATTAGTTTGAGTTATGCTAACTAAAATATGACATAGATCTATAAAATAGGTATGAGAAAATAACATTGAACCTCGGTATTTCTGGAAAAACGTCCATAGTTTTCACAAAGAAAACAAAAATAAAACTTAACATCTTAAAATATCAACGAATAGTCTAAAGAGATCACAGTCTGGATTTTACTTTCAGGTTTATGTTAAAAATGTAGTATAAAATAATTTAAACGGTTTATTTAAAATTTAATACCTTATGAGCCCGGATGGAGGCACCTTCGGAACAGGCGAGCGTGACGTCCACCAAGCTTTCGTCGTGTAGCAGTTGGCTGAAAACGCCGAGCAAGTTGCTCTGATGATTGTTCCACCTCAGGCAATAGTGCTCACTTCCCATGTCTGAGCTAGCTCCCGCCGCTGTGATAGAAATAGAAAAGTTATATTATTTTATATTTCTCAAAGATAAAAGTAAAATACAAAATATCGGCCGTGACCCATCCATTAACAACTTCTTCAAGTGTCCTAAGAAAGCTATGTCGATTCGTTGTGAAGTAAAGGTCACACTGACAAACATACTTATTTATTTATAATGTTAGTGACAGTTTACATAATAAAGAGACAGATGTTAGCCCTCGTCCCAACAAAAAGTAACATTGGACTCTGCCACCCTACATACTTTATACATACATATGTATAAACAAAAAGAGATGATATTTTAGCAGGGAACTCTCTATCGCATGTGGACTCGTCTTTAGTATTATAAAATTGCGGCGTGCAAGTGTTTATCATTCTTGTCGTAAATGACTTGACTTATAATGATTTTTTTATGTTCTATGGATGGTTCTTAGTAATAAGTGGACCAAGTACGGTTTCCCCCAACGTGCTTTCACCTTGTGGTGATGGAGGGTCTCATTAGCGTCCGGCAATCCAGCCGGGCGCGAAGAGAAGAAACGCACCGGGAGGCGCCCCACCTCGGTGGGCGGTATGCCATGCGGATTGCTCCTGGTACTTCTCTAATAGTGGAGTGGACCGTTGGAGCAACCCCATGGATGTTGTGGTCTGTTTCGGCAGACTTGCTGTCAAGGTTCATCATTTTAGGTTATCATTGTGGTTGAGTGCGTAAGTGAACCTGCGACGCCCCATTAAGACGGGGGAGGTTTTGTTGGGTTTTAGTAGGTAGTACTGGTTTTTCTAACCAGCGAGCCGTGAGTCCTACATAACCACCTGTATGTATTAAGGTGACCCAAGGTGTTCCCAACATTAAACAAAAAAGGTACGAGGAGATAATATCATCGTAGATCCAAATTTGTTTTAACTTTTCGACCAAATGAGGTCAGTGGCAGGACTGCGTCTGCCTACCATGATACTTATTATGAAAAAAATATTACTAACTGAAACTGTTGTGCCTTGACCATGAAATATGTCATCGAAAGTAACTTTAGCTCTTGATAATTAAGCAACAATCAATATCGATCAGACATCAAAGTTGAATTACCGGATACGATTTAATAAAGACATCACAATCGCAATACAAAGACGCGTCTGTTTTGCATTTTTAACATTTAGATCAAAGTGGACGCTACTTCTATATTATGCAAGTCGAGATGTCAGTGTCGTGTGATGTAACATAATATTGGTATTTGGTATTACCAATTCATTGTAACTTTTTTAAACCTTAAAATAGATTGTGCATTTTGGATTTCTAACTATGTATGCATGCAAATAACAAATTTTGCATCCAAATAAGTTAATTATACAAAATATATTATATTATTATTTATTTATTGTATTTAACTATAATCTAATAATAATATTTCTAGCTAATATATTAAGAGTTCGTTTAAATCTAATTGTGACGTATAGTAAAATAAAATATCTAATAATCCAAGTAGCCTATTACCTAAAAAGTTTCTGTACGTTACTTTCCTAACCCGTACGTACCTACTGTAAATCGTTTGTGTCAAATTTTATCAAGAATGGTTGAAGCTGTTGAATATCTAGAAATAACAAAATAAATTAGCTTGCTTCAATTATATTAATATAATATGATTAGTTGTTATTTATAAGTTATATATATACTGATATAACCATATATAGAGATAAAACGATTTTTTTGCTTTTTTGTCTGTCTGAACGCGCTTATCTCTAAACCTACCATTTAAAAATTATTTTGGGAATTTATATTGAGGAAGTTTATATGTACACTACGACCCTGAACAAAGCAATTATACATAAACTGCGTAAGCAGACTCGCGTGCATAAGCTAGTTAAGTAATACAAACCTTTTATATTCACGATATAAAATGTTTTAGTTATTAGCTATTGTATTGTATAGGCTTTTACGAAATGTTGCGTGAATAAATTAATTTAAACTATATTGCCATCGGCTTAACCAATAAGTGGGTTTGGTGAAGTTAACATTTGGTTAAGTTTACAAATAAAAGGTTACTGGTTTCCCAGACGACAATTGATATTAAGTGGACCTTCCAGAAGGAACATTTAACGACAAACTTGTAACGCTTAGGAAATTTTGTATGATCTAACATACCTACCTAAATAGGTACTAATCTATACATATAGATAATAAAATTCTAACTGAATCGAATCTGTGCATTAAATATTTTTTTGGAAAATCTTATTGAAATAGTCATTAATATCGATAGAGAGGCCGAATCTATAGTTTTTAGAATTTTCGTCTACCTGTCTGTCTGTCTATCTGTTCGGGAACGCACCACGAGAAAACCATTGGACAGATTTTGTGTGATGATAGCTAGTTATTTGGGTCAAGATATAGAATACTTTTTACTGCAAGAAAATATCTCATATCTGAGAAATCTGTACTAAACGTTAAAACGTAACTAGGGACGAACTCGAGCGGAGCGAGGGTCAGTCGCCAGTTCTATATAAAATTGTTTAAAAATATTCTAGAATATTTTGGCAAAGGAAATTTTCTAGGATTATACTCTGCATTACTTGAAAGAAATAGATTACTTGAAACGTATTAAATATTTGGGTAAACATGTCGGCAGGTATGTATTTTATATGTTTTTGCAATTATCGTGTTCATGTGAATTTCTCCCAATAAGAGCATCTGATGGTATTATTTAATCTCATATCTTCATTTGAACTACTTAATGGCAATATAAACAGGACGTTAAATATTTCCAAAACTCTAACTTTGAAAATGATGAACGTCTATTATACTCGTAGACACGTAGTCGACTCTTATAGATTTAAGAGTTTTATTAAGTTAATTTTGAACGAAGAGTAATATTCTAAATAACTGCTAAAGATAACATGAATAATGGGCTAAAGTTTGAATCAAGTTTTTATTCAAAACTAGCATTGCCCGCGGCTCCGCCCGCGTTCAGGTGACCAAAAACCAAATTCTTAGGTTTTACATACTAGAATATATTTAAAATGCATGTTTTGAATTTTTTGTTAGAAATGAGATATTTTCCCGCGATAAAAAATATCCTATATGTTGACCTGGATAACCAGCCATCACCATACCAAATTTCATCAATATCCCTCCAGTGGTTTTTCTGTGATGCGATAACAGACAGATAGACAAAAATTCTAAAAACTATACATTCGGCCTCTGTGTCGATAATAATATTTATTTCAATAAGATTTCCCAAAAAATATTTAATGTACCTACAGATTCGACTTAGTTGCAATTTTATTATAATGTATAGATTGACATTTGCTGAAAAGGACATTATGCTCATAAAACATAACTTATTGTCAAAATTTGTAGAAAATAATAATTTTATTTATAACATCCTTTAAAGAAATTGATTTCGAAGAATTTATATTAACAAAATATCTAAAATCTTTAAGTTTTGAAATTGTATCTATCCAAAAAAAACGATTTACCTACAATTATACTGACTCAATAAATATATCTATTTCGCTAAATGTCAAAAAATATATTTAAATAACTTTGTTAATTACAATAAAAAAAAAACGGCTGAGTGCGAGAGAACTTCGTATCTTAATGATATCTATATTAGTAGGTATACTTTGTATTTTTAAATCATTAAAACAAAACAATACCTGCAGCTGTTATAAGTCAGATAAAAACTAGCATTTTTCTTTGTAGCCCAAAAGCTATTAATTTAAAGTAACTTTAATTAAAATATTCAAATACAAGCGAAATATTAGTATTTAGTTAATTCTTTGTTAGATTTAAGCGAAATATTGTCATCTTCTTAGTATAAAATGGAGTCGTTTCCGCTGTGTGTTCGCTTAGATCTTTTAAACTATTCAACGGATTTTTATACCGTTTTTATCAATAGATAGAGTGAGTCAATAGGAAGGTTTATATGTATAATACATGTATATTATAGTACAGAAAAACCGAGAAATTCAAAGATTTGTATTTCATACTAACCGTTAAAAGGTAACTTTAACGTAGTTTAAAATAAACCTATCTTTTCGGATTCTTCGATTCGCGAAAATCCGGAAAGATCATCGAAGAAGAAGAATCATTTAGTATTCAGTTATTTTAGTACATAAATATAGACACTTCACTTAGCGATAGTAACTCAACTAGATAAACTATCATTTGGCAGCATCACGCTTCCCAATATTACGTCAACTGCCGGCGTTAGAACGCGTTAGCGGTTGGACAATACAATAGTTTATTTCCGAAAATTTCGTACATTTTAACAATAATTTTAACAATAAGGCAGTGGCATTCAAATTCTATACTAATGTTAGCCATTAGTTGGCTATTTTAATAAAAGCAAATGAAATGTTGGTTACAAAACTATTTTTTATCATAGCATTCTCCATTTATACACTATAGTTAAATTCATACACATAAATATTTATGGATTGCTATGAACTATTTTGTGTAAATTGTAACTAATAAATATAACCTCTATAGTATAATATATTCCTAAAAGACCTTATAAAAAGTAAATCTCAATAAAGTGTTATTTAATTGAATCATAAGTTTGGGATATCTAGAAACAAAATATTAATTCTACGCGTTCTAACAGAAACATGGAATATGTCAAGAAAAGTGCTTGTCTCTTTTTTATGTTCCGAGTTCAGATCCAAAGGAAATTAAAAAAATATAAAATAAATTATATCTTAAGTATTCTTCGAGATACCTATAAAACTAAATTAATTCCATTTGCACGTGTAATGATACAAATAATGAAGTAATAAATAGAGACCTATATTTATAACAATATAATATTATAGAGTGGGAGAGTTTGTTTTTTGGTTTGTTTAAACGCTCTAATGTCTGACTCTACCAGTTAGATTTGATTTTCTTTGCATTTTATAGATATTAATTGACGAAAGCTAGAGACAATTTAAAGTCACGCTACAATCCCTAAAAGTTTACGCTTTTTTGATCTTACTCCCAATTATATATGTATA